GTTCGCGAACAAGCTCTGCTCCGAGCTCGGTCTGTCCGGCGAGGCCGTGCCGCTGGTCGCACACGCGGTGCACGAAGAGCTCGTCAAGCACAAGCAGGATGCGCTCGAGTGGGGCGTCATTGGGGGATACGGCAAGGAGACAGCGGAGGACACCAACAAGCCGCGGGATAAGAGCGGGCTGAGTCTGTTGAAGGACAAGACGGGGCTCGGGCTCGGGTGGGGACGCGCGCCGAAGGACGGGCGGGGCCCGAAGCCGCTTAGGAGCGTGTGGAGGGACTGGGCGGAGGCGGAGGAGTTTAGGACGCGCTTTGAGGTGTTGACGGCGGAGGAGGTTGAGCGGAGGGAGATTGAGAGGGAGCGGGCTAGCCGGTGCGTGGTGTGTCGTGATACGATGCATGGGTGTTCTAACGTAGCGATAGGCGACTACGGCGCGAGACTTCGAAGTTCCAGTCGCAGGCGATTTCCAGGAGACGGCGATGACATTCGATTCGATCGGGGTTCTGCCGCCCTCTCTTGGTATTGTACTGTCACATTAATGCAGATCCATTCGTCACCGCGATTGCCACTCGTTTCCTGAGTTTGATGTCGAATGTCTGTTGATCGCATAGTTCTCGTGGGCTGCGATGGTCTCGGAATTTTCATAGAACTTCAGACATGCGTGATATAAATCAATGGAGCGGTTATTGCGATCTCAGTGTGGAGGATAGGACCATCGACCAGGATCGAAGGGTGCGTACGAGCAGTATTTGGATAGCCATTCAACGAGTATTCATGGAACAGTGGTTCTTGACCTTTTTTCATGGGAGGGCCCATGGTTCGGCCATTTTGCCTGACGTTCCTCTAACCTCCCTTTTGATAGCTTTTGCAGACCGGTTGCTACAGTTCAGACTACCGGCTCCCAGCAGTTTCGCATTAGATATTCTGTTCCGATGCTGCGCTTACAGGTCTGGTTCTCAACAAATACGCTGCCTAAAAGTACACTGCGCACTACACGTGCTACAAAGAGAACGGAACAAACGCAGTTGTGATCCTGCCTCAGATCGCGCCCGAACATACGGCCTCGATCCAAGCAGTGTCGCTCCTTACCGTGGTGAGGTTCTCGTATCCATTGGCAGTGATTACCACGACGTCTTCAATCCGAACTCCACCTACACTCTCGTACCTCTTGAGAACGTCATGGTCAATGTGACGGGAATCCCGCACTAGGGCGAGCAGGTGAGGAGAGAAGTAGATGCCAGGCTCTACCGTCTGTCCGATGCAGGTAAGTATGACCACAGGCAGCAGAACGATGACAATCATCAACGTACCACGACCATGCCCTCTTCCAGAGGCAGACGGAGACGCAAATACGTGTAGAATGACTCGTGTCCGAGTTCCACTCCCTTCCCAATGGTGTCGTTCTTCTCCGGCTTACTCGCGCTCGGCACGTCGTGCACGTCTAGCCCAAGCGAGTGCCCGACGCCATGCGGGAAGAACGCGGTGCTCACGCCGCTCGCGAGGATCGATTCCTCGGCGTTCCAGGAGCCCGAGTTGGGAGACTCGGGCGTCTTGAAGATGCCTAGTCGCTGGAAGCCGCGGACGAGCGTGCGGTGGCACAGGAGCTGGATCACGTCCCAGTGTAGACCGGGCTCTAGTGCCTCCATCGACAGCTGCAAGCGGCTCAGTTCGAATGTAACATCATTGAAGAGGGAAGGACGTACCCGTTGCATCTCGAGTACGAGCTCGTATATGGCCCGCGCCTCGGGAGTGAACTTGCCTCCGTTTCCAACAGGCATGGTTCGAGTGACTTAAAGATCAGTCAGCCAGAGTAACTGTGGAGGACATGTGCAAGGCTCACTATCAGAAGCATAGCAATTCCATTCGCAGCCTGCATCAATGAGCAGGACCTGGGCATCCAGCTGTCTGCCCTCTCCATGAGCGAGGTGGTGGCCGTTCTCGTGAGAGTGGGGTGCGACGGGACCCCAGGCGAACTCGCGATCGTTGCAGCAGTAGTGCAGAGTGGAAGCACGAGTGGAGGCAGCAACTATTGGCAGGTATGCTTGATGCACAGAACTAGATAACATCGGTGAGCCTGGCCAGCTTCTGAGCGAGGTGATAGAGTCACATACCCTTCCCTGCGGCAGGAAGCCACGAAGAGGGCTTCCGCCTCCGCTTCCTTCTCAATCAGCCATTCGCCAGGAAGCAAAGGCCTGTCGACACCCGCGCCCTCTCCATGCTGAAGTGCACCGCGTACACCTTGGCCCAGCACACGCATGACAACCTCGTGAGCGCGCGAGCTGATGGCGTTGGCCTTACTGATTGCTGCAATCTCGTTTGCATCCTTCGTGAGTCTGGCGCGGTGCAAAGCGGTCAGGAGATAGGCATCAGTTGCAGTCGCATTCTTTGGCAGCATCGTGGACGTGTACTGTGCAGAGAGGACCGGGAAGAGGGGGGATCCAGCGGGTAGGATGTGGATGGTGGCAGACGGGTATGCCTTCATCTCTTCCTTAAGCGCTGCGTGAAGCTCCCCAAGGTGCTCGACACGGGTCATCTGAAATTGTGAAGATGCTTCCTCAACGGTTGGAGGAGGCACAGACCACATTAGGTCCGCAATCTCAGCTTTCGGGATGAACAACTGCATCTGCGGGTTGGTGGAGAGCGACGTTCCGTTCTGGAACGTGAATAAGAGGTACGACGAGGGGATTTCGCATCCTGATAGATAGTAAAAGTTGGATTCCTGCAATGCGACGTTAGATTAGGAAGAAACGGTGACAAGACGGTGTAAAGACCTGCCGGAAACTAAGCTCGCGATCGGTATCATTCCTGTAGGGCGTGACTGCCCCTGCAAGTAATATTATCTGGGGCTGCAACAAAACTATCAGAACAGCAGAATACAGCAAGATTCGACTACACACCTCATTCTGCTCCATAGACGGCAACAATTCGATGAGCTTGCCGAATGTCTTGATGACATGCGCTTGTGCTGCAATGTCACGTCTCAATAGAGGCACATATATCAATCACTTTATAAGTCATTACCAGGATACATCGTATTCGTTCGTATTCCGAAGGTGATCGCAGGAAGCACAGATAGGCTAGAGCTGCGAGAGTTGCGGGAGCGCCGAGGACATCTCAGCCACCATCATCTACCTCTCGCGCACTACTTTCTACCACTTCCGCCGCCACCTCACCTTTCGACGAGTGTATGGCGACAATATCAATTTCTAAGGCGGAGAAGTCATATGTTCAAAGTTCTCTCCGCAACGACCCTCCACTCCGTGCTGATGGACGCGCACTCCTTGATTTCCGGACTGTGTTGCTTGAGACTGGCGTCGCACCCTTAGCAAATGGAAGTGCCAAGCTGAACATAGGTAAAGCGCCGTTGGAAGGCGGGGACGGCACAGAGGTGATTGCGGCCACAAAACTGGAGGTGGAGGACGTTGAGTCAGGCGACGGGATTGATGGCGGCCGCATTGTTTGCTCAGTGACATGGTGCGTATGACAACTGTTTGAATGCAATATTAAGGAAACCTTGTTTCGTCTTGCTCTGATGTTGAGGACGGCGGTTAGATTGCGTAGCTAATTGTTCCGAGACAGCTCTCCCTCTGCCTACCCTCATCTATCCTCAAATTCCCTCGACGAGCTCCAATATGACCTAACGACTATCCTCCACCAAACCATCGCTCATCCATCTTTGCATCCATCCAACCTCAGCATCTTGCCAGGTAAGAAAGCCTGGCTTCTACACCTAGATGTCGTCGTACTCGCGGACGCGGGCAATGTCCTTGACGCAATTTTTACGGCATCCCGCGCCTCGCTTTGGGACACGAAGGTCCCTCGCACGCGTGCAATTCAGTATCAGGCGAAGAAACCAGCATTTACAAACGCGGATGTAGACATGGATGAGGGGCAGGGACCAACCATCAGCGGCTTTGACACGCGCAATATAGCGAAGGCCGCAGTAGATTTTGAGCTCCCAGACTATTGGGATGAGGGTGAGATCCTCGACGGAAGAGAATGTTGGCCAGTATCTGTCACTTTGAACGTTGTAAGTAATTTTTATACCATACCGGTTGATCTGAATTAACCGCAAGCCTTTAGCTGTCCCCAATTCACTACCTGGACGCTACACTGACTGAAGAGGCCTCCACTCCCGTGAAACTACTACTGGCATTCTCGTTCCCTCGCGATTCACCGCCTCGTATACAGGCAATGCGACTGCTCGGTCCAGGAGAGTTGTCGTTAGAGCAAACGAAGTCTTTAATCGCGGTGAGTTTCCTCTCAGGCATACCTTGTCAATAAAAAGACGAGCGAGCACGAACGTTAGGATTCCCAAAAATATGCAAGTGAGCTGTTCAATTCTCTAGAGTCAAAGCTGTGCGATGAAGATATACGGAGAAACATCAAAGCAAGAGACAAGTTCGCGCTGCGGTGAACAGCTGCCTGGCAGAAAAGTATTGTGATGCATATGGTACAGTATACATTAATGCCATCTTCTGCCAACTGTGCCTTAGGTGCTCTCACTGGCATGTGTCCTGAGTGCTTTGTTCAATCCTTCTCTTTTCATGCAATTCTCAAACTTGAAGCTCTCCGCAAGACGCTCCAACTCTTTCTCTCCCATGCCACGGAAATGTTCCGCCCACTCGCGGACCATGAACTCGCCCATCAAGGTGTTCCTCGAAATCGCTTCGACGCGGCGCTCAAGCGTCCAGATTGGATAGGGATACAGCCGCTGATCGGCTTCGTTTGGCACTTCGCGCTTGATAAGTTCGACCAGCGGATCGTACACATGTCGCACGAAGCGATCATTTGCACCCCAAGCGTCCACGGCGAGGCGGTACTTCTTATGGAGAACGTCTTTGAAGTGCTGCATGTAGGATGTCTCGCGAGAGACGTAGACCATTCCTTGAAAGCCGATATCTTTGTACAGCCAGATGGACCAGCTGAGGCGGTCCTGCAAGGGTACTCTCGGTAAAGTATTCTGAGGCGACGTCTGTATCACCGACGCACCTCATGGTACATCTCCAACTGGTCAGCGAGGACGTTGTATCGTCGCTCGTTGATCTCGTCGGTCGCCTCGCCATCGTATTCTCTCCGTGCGTACACAGGACCCCACTCACCATTCCACACACAGAGGCCCTGCGCGTCTATCCACTCGCGCTTACGCTCATAACTACGCCGCATCCTTCGGCGCTGCTCGTCCGTGCGTTCATACGGCTCAGGTGACTTGGGAAAGCCGTACAGCGAGTAGTCGTGGATCGCGTACGCTGCGTTCGGCCATCGCACAGCAGCGTCGTCCGGGAAGCGCGTGAAATCAGACGCGAAGGTGTTCCCATCGAGGAAGAGCATATGGTTTGGATCGATGGATTGGATGGCTGCGTATACGCGGTCGTAGAATTGGATGAGCCCCGCGTGTTCGGGGTCGGCAGGTTCGTTCATCGGGTTGTAGCCCGCAATCCACTGGTGCACCAACCTGTTGGGTGAGCGATTTGTCCCCTATGGTGAGTGAAAGACGGCGACAGACCTTCTCGTCCTTGTAATGCTTCGCTATATCCGTCCAAAGCCAGACCAGCCTATCCTGGAAGTCCTTATGAATCCAGAAAGAAGCTGTGTGCGCGCCGTGGTCTGAGTGCCAGCCGCCGTTCTGCCCGCCTGGTGCGGTGTGCATGTCGAGGATGGTGTATATTCCGTGCTTTGCGCAGGCCGCTACGACACGGTCGAGGTGCTTGAATCCTTCGAGCTTGAGGACGCGTGGGTTCATGTCATCTTCGAAGTGCCGGTAGTTGATCGCGATTCGAATGCAGTTCAGGCCAAGCGACTTGAAGAAGGCAGCATCTGCCTCCGCAAAGAAATGTTCAAGGAACTGTAAATGATCAGACACATTAATTTTCTTTCTCAGCGATGATTTTGCTCAGGAATGCATACTCTGTCGAAGAAGAACTCGGATTTTTGCTGCCCGATCACCTCGGCGAGCGCAGCGCGTATTTGGAACTCACATCCGGGGAAACCTAGCGATCGCATGAAGTCGTAAGCTTCATATTACAGTCGTTCATTCCTTACCACTGATGAAGTTCTCCATTCTATGTGCACGAACAACCCTTCAGCTCGTCAAAGCGACATAGATATCGCAGTGCTCACGTCATCCACCCTCCCATGCCTGCGCCTCTCAAAATGACCTCTTTGCCATCCCCATCGACAATCTTCGTGCCCTCGACGCGGAGAAAGCTAGACATTGGTTGGCCGCACTCGTGTTCGACGGTCTTTGAACGTTGCACATCTACCTTCTATCGCGGCAGTACGCTTTTAACCTGTGGGGCTTGTCATCCAGGTAACAGCTGAGAGGCCCACATGATGGTCGGAGGTGGCTATGGTCGCAAGGGGCTCGGTGAACTAAAATAACAGAATCTACGAGTCGTCAGGACCTCGAACAGGAGGCGATAGTCGAGCTGGCCGGGGTTTCAAGTACAAACCATGATTTTTATGAGCGCTGAGTAACTTGAGTCATCTCATTCTCAACACTGGTAAGATCAGTGTTATGGCCCTCCCGAAGGTCTCAAGGCGACACTATCCTGCATCCGCCGGAAAGCAGTCAATTTCCTAGCTTAACGAAGACGTTGCTTGTCGCGGCAGTGAGGACCGGCATTCACCGCCTAATCCTTGCAGAGGTGGCCAGGGTCTTGATTACGGCTCGGGGAAACGAAGCTCGGAACCAGCGACAAATTTCCAATGCTCAATCAGACGGATCAGATCTCACAATCTCACTTCAAGTACGATGACGATACTAATACATTCCTGGATCCCCCAGTGGAAATCGGCGATCTGCAACATTTGCATTAGTCTCAATTCCGTTTCCCTCTATTCTCTAGCTGAGGGAAGATTCCAAGGAGATATTGTAATGATTGACGACGAACAAACGGAGGTTTCGCGGATGCGCCCCGGAGCAACCTCGGAGGCTCTCTGGATGAATCAGCTCGTGAGCACGCTAAGAGCTCGGATGACTCACGATAATCCAGCTCCACTTCTGCTGTTATAAAACATGTCCTCCAAGGATCTTTCGCGTGTTCATCCAACTTATCATGGCGTACTTGAAGGTCTCTGGAACGAAAATCGTCGACCACAATGGCAAGGAGATCATCCTCCGCGGCGCAGGCCTTGGTGGCTGGATGAAGTATGCATCTTCTTCACAAACACTTCACGGGTCGGCCACTGATCGTCTCTGCGTAGCATGGAGAACTTCATCTCCGGTATGCATCGTAGATGGAATCGGATCGTCAAGCTCATGGACGATCGTCGCAGGTTACCCTGGTTGCGAATTCCAGATTCGCGCAGCACTCGCGGACGTCATTGGCAAGGAGAAGTCAGAATTCTTCTATGACAAGGCGTGCAGATATCCTTTGCTCTGTCGATGGGCAATGATTGATTGGTCTCGTCGCAGTTCCTGGAATACTTCTTCCAGGACGCCGATGCCGCGTTCTTCAAGAGCTTGGAGCTGAACTGTATTCGCATTCCCTTCAATTACAAGCATTTCGAGGGCGCGTATATGCGATGTTGCGGCGATTGCTCTCATTCGATGCTGAATGAGACCATTTCTAGATGACATGAATCCGCGCGTGCTGAAGCCGGAAGGCTTCAAGCACCTCGATCGCGTGATTGATCTGTGCTCGAAGCATGGTATCTACACAATCCTCGATCTGCACACAGCACCAGGTGGCCAGAACACCGACTGGCACGCGGATGCCGGGACGCACATCGCCAAGTTCTGGGAGCACAAAGACTTCCAGGATCGCACGGTCTGGCTCTGGGACCAGCTGGCAAAGCATTATGTCGGGAACACCTGGATCGCGGGCTACAACCCGCTAAACGAGCCGACTGACCCGTACCACACCCGCGTCGTTGCTTTCTATGACCGCGTCTACCGCGCAATCCGCGTGGTCGATCCGCATCATGCGCTCTTCTTTGACGGAAACACCTTCGCGTCCGACTTTTCGCACTTCGGCGACGTGCACAAGCGGTGGGAGAACTGCGCGTACTCGATACACGACTATAGCGTGTTTGGGTTTCCCGCGTCGCCGGAGCCGTATGTGAACAGCGAGGCGCAGAGGACTCGCATGCGGAAGAGCTACGAGCGTAAGCGAGAGTGGATGGATGAGCGCGGATTGTGCGTGTGGAATGGCGAGTGGGGCCCAGTGTATGCGCGGACGGAGTACGAGGGCGCGAGGACGGAGGCAATCAACGAGGAGCGATACAAGGTTCTCAAGGACCAGCTGAGCATCTACAATCAGGTGCGTGTGCTTTCCGCAAAAATTTGCATATGGAAAGGGAATAATTCTTTGTTTCAGGATCGCCTGAGCTGGTCGATCTGGACGTACAAGGATATAGGCTTCCAAGGGATGGTCTACGTTTCGCGCGAGACGCCGTACATGAAGCTGTTCAAGGACTTCCTCGCGCAAAAGCATAGGCTCGCAATCGACGCGTGGGGCGCAGACGATACCGCCGTGCGACCGATCTACGACCCGCTCATAGACCTCATCAAGCGCGAGGTTCCCGCAGAGTACCAGAACCTCTACCCGTTCCCGGTGTGGAAGTTCAGCGACCGCGTCGGTCGGTTGGCGAGGAATATTCTGGTGAGCGAGTTCCTGGTGAAGCCGTGGGCGGAGCATTTCCGTGGCAAGAGCGAGAAGGAGCTTGATGAGATTGCAAAGAGTTTCTCGTTCGATAATTGCTTACGTCGCGATGGGCTCAACCGGATCTTGACGGAGAACGCGAGTTTGGTGGCAGAGTCTAAGTGAACTATAAGGCGGACCGATTGTACGGATAGTTGGACGAAATCTTGGGACATATAAGTATGAAGCTCGAATACATGGAAAGAAAATTAGATTCGATCTGAGCGCGGCTCGGAACACAAGCCAGCGAACGATGTTATGGGGAAACATCTCACTTTTCCGGAGCAGCGCCATCGCATCCACTGTGCAGGCGCAACCATATTCCACGTCTGACAATACAATCTAGAGTCTAGTACAGTCGTGTGACCGTCCTGTCAGTCTCCCGGACGCAGAATGATGACCGCCAGTGGTTTGTTCCGAGCAGTATTCAAAAATAGAAATAGCAATGAATTCAAATTTATACAATCCGTTCATTGCACACTTAAACAATGTACAATCGAATCACTGAACCCACAGAGCGACTCTCGTGAGAGTTAACGATCTCGATCAAGTTGTGGCTCAAGCGCCCGTCAACCTTATATTATGTAAGCATAACTTTCCTCTTAAATGGGCTGCTCTGCGGCTCTCGGACCTGACTCCATCCCGTCAGGCGACAAGGTTTGGCTGTGTGCTGTTTTCTGCTCTTCGTGCATCGTTATGCATGCATTTCTCCAAAACATACCAGCAAATCCTGCTCACCCTTCCGGCGGAGCTCAGGGATAGCGCGATTGAGTACCGGAAGCTCAAGAAGCTAATCAACCAGGTTGTGGGCGAGCTCACGGAGCTAGGTGCTTATCAGGAATGTTGGGTGTCTGCGTGACAATCTTGTTGATGAATGGGTTTGTAGGGTTGTCTCCTGAGGTGCTGCATGAGGTGCTGCAACCAGGCAATGCCGATCTTACCACGTCGCGGACGATCAGAGTGAACGAGCAAGATGTGAAGGTAAGTCGATCGGCGTTGCAGATATCCTTGCATGGCTCATATCTTGTCGTGTCAGGTCGTTTACGAGCTCAGTAATGTAGCTGACCACATTGAGCCCCGCTTGCGTCTCCTGGTTGAAGAACATGACCCGGATGTCAACGCTTCGTCTTCTGTGACTATCGATCACGCGACATCTCCTGATGCAGGCGAGGATGCTTCAAATGCTGAGGAGCGGAAACAAAGTGAAGACCTGGGCGCAACAGGTCGGGTTGCCGACAATGCGGACATCGTTACTCTAGTGTCACCGTCGGTGCAAGCCAACTCCGAGTGAGCTTCTCCGCACGTTTTTCATGTTGAGGTTCCTGACCATCTCTTGCAGATCCATGACACATGAGCTGATTATCCCGCTCGTGTCTGATACGGCGTTTTTCCAACTGCTGACCCAAGCTCTCGAATATCTCAGCATGCGGCTTGTCGCCCTACGGCTGGAATTTGAGGCCAACCTGAAAACCCTCTCCCGAACCATCTCCCTCTCCGCTCGCCCGATGTCATCTATGTCCTCTTTCCGCCCATATTCGCCTCATGACACCCACCCAGCTTCTGTCAGCGTCCATACACCCTCGCACACGAGCAAGTCTGACTTGTATGCCTGGCGTGAGGTGTTCCAACTGTATGTCGACGCAGACATCTTTGAAAGTCACCAGGAGTGCTCGAGGGGCGAGAGGACGATCGAGGATGCGGAGGCACGGCTGGTGGAATTTCTGAAGCGGCTGGACGAGAGGGGATTCACGGACGGGAGCGTGTTCAAAGTGAAGCAGAGTGTGGAGGCGTTGCAGACGTTTATACATTTACTCACATTCATCTTCGATCTGAGGAAGGTAGGTGTATTATTTTACAACTCACATTGTCTTCAGCTCAATTCTGGTGCAGTTCCAGCACGCGACCACGGAGGCGACCCGGAAGATCCTCAAGAAGCATGCGAAGCGCACTGCTCTGCCCCTCTCGCCGACGTTCTACTCCCCGTTCGCTATCCCAGACCCTACCTCATCCCCGTCGCTGTCCATCATCGTGCCTTCGGCCCAGTCGCGCGGCTCCGAAGCGGCGCTCATCTCCAAGACTAGCGTCTCGCTGTCGCATTTACTGGGTCAGGCAATTGGGGAGACGATCCTGCCGATCATCCCGCACATCGATGACTACAGCTGTCTGATCTGTACGAATATCGCGTTCAAGCCGATTCGGCTGGCGTGCAGGCATCTGTTTTGTGTCAGGTGCGTTTTGTCGCGATCTGTGCTGAGAGTTTTGACTTACTGTGTCATATAGGTGTCTAGTCAAGATGCAGAAGCGTGGGCAGGACCACTGCCCGATGTGTCGTGCGCCTACTGTCCTTGCAGCTGACCGTTGTAAGTGTAAAAATCCTTGTCCTTGGCGTGATGGATTTGACAATGGGTACGCATATAGCGAACGTCGACTGGGCATTGTTGAATTTCATGAAGGACTGGTTCCCAATCGAGTCCAAGAAGAAACTTCGGCAAAATGAGAGGGAGGTCGCGGACGAAGAGCTGGCAGAGCTCGGTTTCGAACACGGTAATTGCACCATAATGTAGGCGGACACCTTGTTGTCTTTCTCTCTGGGCTTCTTGGTCTGCTTTCGCTAAAGTATCGTGTATCACGGACACCATATTTGCATACGATAGGTACCACCAGTATAGTGCTCGCCGACATACGAGCGAGAAGCGGATTTTATATATGTACAAACGAACGCGAAGGTATATATTTATACGTAGGTATCACAGACACGGACAGCAGGTCGCGCACAGAATAATAAACATCTACGACCGGTATACGCAGAAAACATGCAATGCAATGCGAGTAAAAGAGCGACGATGCAACAAATGATGATCAAGATCTACAGAGCTCCAATGACCCTGGGGGCTTGCCACTTTCCTGCCCTCAGTTTCGCGCGGGTAGGGCAGGGACCGGCGGCACCGTGTATTCGCCGTACATAGCCTCGACCTGCCTGACAAAATGAGCGCGCGCGCTCGCGCTTTTCTCCTCGTCGAAAAAGCTCCTACGGCTCTCCGACTGGCTCCACACGCTCGACGTCTCGACCTCGCTCCCATCGCCATACACGGTCGGCGGACGGGAGTCGTCATAGTGCGACTGGTCGTCCTCGGGGTCCTCCTCCTGCACTCGCTCGCCGTCGGCTGGCTCGTAGTGAGACAGGTCGTCGTCCACGTCTCGCTCCGAGGCGCGGTCGTCGTGCGAGGCGTTATCCTCGAAGGAGACCTTCCTCTGGATGCCCCCGCCGTTCAGCGCGCGAGGGCGTGGGGCATCCAGTGCGGACGCGGAGCGCGGCTGCCACTGGGCACCCAGCATCTTTGGATCGCGCCAGCCGCTGTTCGGTCCGTAGCCATCAGCAGACGTCGGTTTATTCATGTATGGATTGCGAGCGGCGTTTTCCTCCCGAAGGTCGGTGGCCACAGCGGCTTTCTTTCCAAACAGGAGTGGAGAAACAGAGCGGACGGGAGACACTGGGAACGGCGACACGCGCCCGCGTTCCTCTTTTGGCTGGGCAAGCGAGGCGGGGAAGGGGGACACTCGCCCGTGTTGCGCGCGGGGGACTGGCTCGGAGATAATGGGGACGAATGCCTTGCCAGCAGGCGGAGCCGGAACAGAGTTGGGGGAGCTCAGAGCGAGTTTCAATGCAGATGAGGGAGTTACAGGCAGTCCGCGAGAGGGCGCAGACCCAGCCGGGGATGGCCAGCCATTCCTGGGTTCTGTTGAAGTGGAACGGCTAGCCTGAGGTATGGCAGAGCCAGGAGACGTGGGTGGCTCTGGAAGAGGTCCCTGAGGAGGAGGCGTCGGAGGGGGAATGCCATAGTATGCCAGGACATGGGGGCGCAGAGGAGACTGAACGGGAGGCGGACTGGTCGGCGCGGAGGCCGATTGATGAGAGGGAGACGGGGTACTGCGCACTGAGGCAGATCTCGCGGGACTTTGGAAGGGTGGCGACGTCGATCCGCCGCGCGCGTTCTGGGTCGGCGTGACGAGGATGTATTCGCCGTCGGTGGCGGTGTGGACGCGTTGAGCGATATGCGAACGCACAGAGGTGGGCGAGTGAAGGTCGAGTGGCGTGGGGACATGCTTTGCTGACAGCATCGCCGTGTTCGGAGGGGAGATGATGGGCCGCGGTCCCTTCACTAGTGGGGGCGAGCGAGATGCCCTGCGGGACAGCGATCGCTGCGGAGGAGAGTCGGGCGTGTCCTGGGCACGAGCATACGGGTGCATCGACGGGACGCTCGTGCTGGTCTTCAACGGACTGGGCGAGTTCGGGACGGTTGCCAGGTTGCGGAACGTCGCGAGCACGTCGATGCTGGGGCGGTGCACAGACTGTGCGTCGCGAAATGCCTTGGTGAGGCCCTCGCGCGCGATCATGGATCCCGCGCGCTCTTCGCGTTCCGTCGAGGTGTACGACATCAAGCTCTCATGATCAGCCGCCAGGTGTTGGCTCGTGATGGTACTCGCCGTCGAGGATCCATCCGTCGAGCTCGGAGTGGGAGTGCGCAGGAACCGCTCCGCGATCGGCAACGAGACGAACGGAAGAGCCGGGACGGGCGGCACCTCCGGCGAAGGGCTCCCCTCAGCAGCATCGCGCTTCTTTCGCGACCGGGAGTTGAGGCGGAAGAAACCCTTGCGCTTCGTAGACGCCTCCGACAGGTTTCCGCCGTCGGAATCGTCAGTCGGTGCCGCGAGCGAGCCCTTACGTGCCCGTTGCTCCTTCTTGATACGAGAGCGCCCGGTGCTGCCGTCCGTCTCGTAATCCGTTGCGGGCGCGTCGGTGGCACTTGCCTTCGCCTTCGACTTCTTTTCGCCCTTGCTCTTCTTACGCTGCGTTCTGCTCGCTTCCGAGAAGTACCCCCCATCGCTTTCGTACTCCGTGCCATCCCCGTCCTCTTTGTCCTTCTTCTTGTTCTTCGCCTTCTTATCCTTCTTCTTGTCCTTCTTGCTCTTGCCGCTATCACTCAAATACCCTCCATCACTGTCCGATCCATTAGACCATAGTCGGCGCAATCTCCCATTGCGCGGACTGGGCGGAAAAGGTGATATGGTGCGCGGTTCCGGGGTAGCGCTCAGGTCGAAATGAATGCGTTGTGTCGCGTCGGAAGCTGCTATGGCGGACCCATTGCGAGATATTGACGAGGATGCTTGGCCCACTGAGCCGACAACCTTGCCTGCTGACTCATGAGAAGGGATAATTCCAGCACCGGGCTGGACTAGGGGGGACGTGGAACTGGACAAGAAGGAATCATCTGAAGTCGAGGTCGATGCGTAGGTCAAGCTCGGGGACACGGTGCTCTGTGGGAAACAACTAAGTTCAATAGAGTGCTTGATAAAGGTGTGGCAGACCTCGGTGTCGATATCTTCACTTCCCTCGTCTACAGGGCTGAAGATCCACTTCGTTACAGTGCAGTTGGTACCGACACCGAGCTCAAGTGCGCTTTCCAAGATAGATGCCCGCAGGACAGACGCGCGGTTCTCAAGGGGTTGCTCCCGCGCGGGACGAGCGGTGGGGGCAGCTGACATGCTGAAAGCTCAACGCGAGGAGCACGAGGAACGACAGGTAAGGTATTAGGGAACGTGAGAGGCCAGAAACCAGACAACACTCCTTTCGCAACGAGATAGACCAGACTCGTCGCGACGCCAGGAGACCGTCTGTGCTGAGAAGGAGTAAGACCAGCCCGGCTGTGGGAGACCAAAGTTCAGCAGAGAGAGGAAAGCATGAATGAAGGAAGGGTGAAAGGAGCGGCGCCGCTTTCCTCGAGGATGATGGTAGCAATAAGGTGACTGCCTCGTTCGGATTTAAGGTGCAGATAACCCCTGGATAACCCTCGTGTAAGGGTTATCTGACCGCGGTTCTCTTTCAATGCGGCAACATTCTTACCGCGACGGGCCTCGTTGTATTTCGGATCCTCGTTCATATGTTCCTTCGCTGCATGGTACTCAGGAGCACTTCTGATGCAGTCTAGAAATAATCTTTCGACAGGATGAGCTTTCCACATGCAGTGCGACAAAGGTGATGATGTCCGTTCGACTCTCTTATACAAAATTTCTCAGACATTCGCAGCGTCATCACGCTTCCAACTTCATGGCTCGCTATTCTACAGCGCCAGAAATGTCCATGTGCGTCGTTGGAAATTCCAGTTCGGACTGGCCTGCGCTGTTAGGACGCTGGCATGCAATGAATATGTCATCGATCCGTTTCCATCGCGCTGTCCGATCTTTCGCTGCGCTGTCATTGTTCCGAATAGGTCATTTACACGCTTCATCTCCTGCACGGTGCGGGACGTAGCGTGAAGTGCATACACACGCAACACCGGTCAATTCTCCATCACTCATAGGCTTGCATTGAATGCGATCAAGCCGTTGGTCTGTCCGACGCCGTTGATTGTCTCTACCATTACCCTCAGCGGACCATCTATGCCGCCCTAGATGATCGTTAAGCCACATCCAGCCAAACGTCATCGTTGCTGTGCGGAGCCGAACTGACCATAATTGGTCTTCCGCGGTTCCTCACGTTCATGATCTCGCTGTAGCCTCCGTGGCTTACCTGCAAGCCAGACCCTTGGGTCGAGCACGTCCTGCCCATCTTGGCATAATCAGTACATGTCGACCAGGCTAGCGGCGCACGGTCGAGCTCTGCTTGGTCTCACGCCATGGTGATGTAGCAGTTCCGCGCACCGTTTTGTAGCATAGTCCCAGGTGGCGAACTAGCAGACATCTCATCAAAATGCATGCCGCAGGGTTCAAGATAGTATGCTGGCTGCGGCGACGTATCGTGCGTTGTTGAGCGCGGAAGAACATACTGTTTTGCGCGACATGTCCATTCGGGCCTTATAAGTTTGCCTCACCTAATAGCTAGCGGAGTAGCGCCTGCTATTCGGCAACGGTGTGTTTAGTACAATATGCACCATGAAAGGAGCGGCAGCATCCTCTGGGCATTCTGGTCTTAATCTGTATGACGACAAGGGATCAGTCGCTAGTCGAGATAACATCCTATAGGCTGAGGTCGCGATGTGGTATCTAAACATGTATGGAGTATGGAGACTGCACGGAGGATGAATGGACATATAGCATGAGACATTCCATGAGATTAGCGACACTAGCGATGTGAGTAACTGAGAGAAGTGTGTACGTCAGCATGTAAGAGCCGTCGGGAAACTCATGGTAGCAACGTTAGAGAGCGAAACAGTCAGTCAGTGGCTGTTCAAGGTATGGTCGTAGGCCTGCACAGATGTGCGTTGCAGATGACCATAGCAATCGTAACAAGTTGTCGTGCCACTGTAAAGGCATGCAAGAGAGATTTGTGAGCTCTTAGCCACGTTGCACGAGGAATGCACACACCTATGCGGGTCTTCATAGCAGCAATCCCTGCACACCGTCCTTCCACAGCCCGACAAGGACTCATCCTTGACAGACTTATCCTCACAGCCCGGATACGGCTTCCAATCTTCCTCCATCTCCAAGGCCGGAAGCTTACGCCTCTGCCCAGAGGAAAACACAGAGCATGGCGCAACCGTCAAGTTCGCATTGGCCGCACTCGTGTTCAAGGCAAGCGCCGTACGCTTGGGCGACGGCAGTGGCGATGCGCTCGGCGTCGACGAGCGCGTAAGGGCGGGTGTGGGCGGTATCGACGGATAGCAGGCCGTACACGTCCGTGAGCATATCATGCACGTCGGCGCTTTACACCTGCATGGACAGGTCAGTGTGGCTCCGCTGGTGAACATCAAAGGATGCATACCTAGCGCATTGCACCAGTGTCGACATTTTCCCGTAGGCACCTCGGTGGCACGATGCACACATGACAGATTTCGCATTAGAGATCAGTGCGACCTCTTCGGATGGACTTGCATGCAATGTGTGCTCATGCACGGCATTGACCGTGCATGGATACTGATCTCCTGCGAGCCTTCGCCTCTTGATTGCGGGTCTAGCGGTGAGAGTCATGGTCAGATCGAATGTAGAATGATGTACCCAAACCGCAGCTTGACGGGGTCAAAGTAGCGGAGATGTGTATGGGCTCGCGACGACCGGCCGCCCAGCCACAAACGCGTGGCATTATATATCGACAAAAATACACCGAGCGGGAGTCGAACCCGCGCCGCTTGCTTGGAAGGCAAGCATGATACCGTTTCACCATCGGTGTCATACACGATCGCCGTCATAAATTTAATATATAGGTTGATTTCGACATCCTATCACTCTAGCTGCGAAAGCGGCCACTTCGTTCAGCGCATCGTTTGCTCTTCGCTGTACAGGCCCCCAAGGCACGCCAAACAAATACCTCATCATGAAAAACAAGAACAAGACGACAAAATTCCCCGTCGTATGTAGCAGGACTTTCTGACCTTGTCCGGATCGAGTCTTCACACAATGCGCCACATCCTCGCAGGCACGCATCAAGCGTATAATGCAGAAGGATGAGGAAGTGGGAAAGGTCGCGCAGGCGACTCCAATAGTCATCTGTGAGTAGTAAAGGCTCAGATGCAATCTCATCGCTGATCCTTTCTCTTCCATGACGGGCGGGCTGGCAGCCAAAGCACTGGAGCTGTTCCTCGCGATGCTCGTGGACGAAGCGAACAAGGTCACCGCAGATCGCGGCGCAAAACGCGTTGAAGCGTACCACTTGTGCGTTTCCGTTGTCTCAACACTTCCTACGCATGCTGATAGTCACCATTACTCTCTTACGGTCACGACGTCGCGAAATGACCCAGGAAACACGCCGTGGAGACAGTTGAGATGCTAGACTTCCTGAAGGAGATCGTAGAGGGCGTACCTGATCCCTCCGCAGGTGGAACCATCGACCTAGATCTCGAGGCAGAGACAGGGCGCAAACGGCGCGGCGGGAAGGGGAAGAAGCTCGCCGAGGGCGACGCGTCTACCGCGCCTACGCGCAAGCGGAGACGGCGCGGGGAGGGAAAGGAGGAGGGAGAGGCACCTGCGGCTGGGCGGCGGCGCGCGAAGAAGAAGGACAAGGAGCCCGAGCAGGAGGAGGAGCAGGAGGACGTGGAGATGGAAGAGGAGGAGGGTGCTGGCGGTGAAGAGGACGAGGCCGCTCCTGCTGCTGCCGTAAGGCGGCATAACGACGACGAGGATGATTGGGAGGGATGATAGATGAACGTCGCGTGAGGCCGTGAACTGGTGTATAGTAGTCTTATGTTCTCTTTTATGCGGACCTATCGGTACGCTCATCAGCGTATGTCTATCGCCCTCCGCTCGCTGCAATATACCCATCACAACGTGTAAATAGCAATATAATGTAATAACTGTTACAAGGATAGGGTATAGCGGGTGCGACAGTCTCGCCTTCCGTCAGATCAACTCGACCTCGCCTCTTGCCAGCAGTTGCTCAATGACATTGTACGGCGTCAACGATATTCGGCCTTTCTCCATCGTTATTGCCGTCCCACTATAAGCCAATAATCATGTGTCAGCCCGAACTCCACTTCATAACCGCGAAACATACTCTGGTAAGCGAACGGGTGGGCAAGTCTGGCGCGCGTGAACGAAAACCGGACGCATGCCGTCTGGCTCGGGAGCTGTGCAGGATTATAAACCTTCAACCATGGCGCGATGGACAGAGCATAACATTCGCACTCATGGGAGGCATGATGAAAGGCACGTCGTCCTCAAGAGACCGCTGTTCTGGCGGCAGACTTTGTAGGACAGATTGAGTCAGGTGATATTCGAGCAGTCGTGCATATCTACATCATAGCGAAGTGAATCCTTGTTTAAGATTTCCTAGATAGTGAGAGAACGAGACGGGAACTTACCGTCTGGCGTGTTTAAGCTCAGCTTTTGATAACCTCTCCTGTACTTCAGGCGTCTTACTGATCCACTTTGCGTACTTTTCGATCTGGACACGGTGTCAAACGTCAAAGCTAGTCGTGGCAAACCACGCACAGATACTCTCACCTTGTGTAATCGCGTACGTATATAGGAGCGCACGACAAACTTGACGCGCTCGATCTCCGTTTGCACAAGCATAATTCGGAAATGCTCATCCTCCGAGGAGTCCGGGTCTGCGCGAAGCAGCTGGACATCATCCGACTAGAGCTGAGCACGGTCAGAGTCAGTTCCCCACCGATGATGCTCTTGCAACGCTCACCTGCTTCTTGACATGGTCCAGGATCCTTCCGAGCAGCATCTCCTGTCCAGGGAGGATGTCCGGCGCGTGTTGTTCGTTCATCCAGTGCCGTATGAGCTGCTGAAGCTGTGTCTCTTCTGCCACTTCTTGAGGCAGGATATGTGCGTTCAAACCAAAGTCGTCTGGCATAGGAAAATCATCATCGTCAGGCACATTTCGCGCGCGTTCCATGAACGAGGGTGCGTCGAGGTCGTCGTCCAGCCAGTTGGACATTCTGGTACTTATAGTCCTCAGGGAAAGCTGGGATTAATGTCAAGCTGGGATTTCAGGCTGGAAGTCGCGGGTGGCTGTAATCAACGAAGAAGAGCGTACGTCTGTCCAGCAACTTGGCCACTCAAGCGCGCCCCGAAATCACGTAGCTGATCGGTGGCGCCGATCACCAAGCGCCGGTGGGCGATGGCCCATTCTACCGAGAATGATTGCGGCTGCTGAGAGTCAACACAACTACCAGAAGAACAACAAAGCTAGAACACAATCCATTCCACACGACGTTATACGTTGTACAAGAAGACTACATAGAACGGAAATAGGACATCACAGAGCACACAGCAGATATCAATTCAAGTTGGTCGACATCGACGGAAAACGGTCTGTAATAGGCCATCTCAAACGGCGTCATTTTCGACGAGTCTTCCGCAGACGATGTATTTTCCAGAAAAGTGCTCCATCCAGCCTGCGCTGTGGTTAGACCTTATGCTATGGCAATACTGCTACACGTACCTCTCATGTTCTCGCTGCGGACGGCGCAACATGTTAGTGAACCACGTCTGGACAAAGCTAGACGGACAACGCACATCTCTTCCGAATTCAAGTCATCCAGCTTATCCAAAGGCTGGTCCACTGGAGTGAGCATCTCTGCATGTCGAGGTCGTGACTTAGCATGAGAGAGACCCGTATGGAAGCTGGTTACACACCAACGTCAAAAGACTGTTTCGCCATGCCTCGGGACGCATCGCGTCCGGCGAAGTTCGCATACATTCCATCTGCTCAGATAAGCATTGAAGCTGTGCATTACGGTAAACCAAGGTTCGAACGCACTCGGTCCGTAGAAGTTTCGCCCCGCAGTCACGTCGTACACGATGCCGTTGATACCGAGCAAAATGCGTTTGCCCTCCTCTCCATTGAATGGCTGAAGAGTGCGCGGCGTATACGTTTGGAAGAGTAGTGTCGGAGGATGGGATTTGGGCATCCAAGAGTATCCGCCCTTGAACTCATTTGGCACGGTCTTCGGCACAGCATTCGAGGGGAACAGAATACGCTGGACAGTGTAGAGGATGTACAGCAGGAGCGCCGTATTGATTGGTGTGCCTAGGTTGAAACTCATCGTGGTGGTAGCGGTGAACAGCTTAACGGTATCGTGCCACCGAATCTCCCAATTACGCCGGAAGCGCGCGCTGGTGGCGTGAGACATTAATCCCGGTAACAGCGCCCAACCATCTTATGTTCAAAGCTTCGCGTTGTCCTTGACAGTTTCACTGAGTTTGTGTACCAGCAGGTACGACCCCGTTGCGCTCATCTAGGAGGCGTTACCACATCAATTGCAACTCATTTGGTACACCTAAGGCTGCCGTCGGGGCTCGCTCATTTCTCGTATGGCTTCCCGCAATTTTAAGTGGAGGACACCCATGGAACAACAAGTGACGAATCTCGCACAATGTTGTGAAGCTCAGCATATTCTGCTATCTGGTCCTCAAACTGTTACTACGGGGGTTCTTTCGGGCTAGAATAGTCCGGCTTGGCCCTTGCTGCTAGAATGAGGTCTCGCGATTCTGTAATGTATGATCTGGCAAGGCCGATCAGCTAATTGGAATATACGCAAGCAAAACAGTCATCTGGTACGTCTGCGTGGTAGTATTTTGCAAGAACGAATCTCCCTGCTAATACCATGGAACATTGGCCTGACTGTTATAACCATTAGGTATCGTTACACGTCATTCCACCCTCATCCTGGTTCTAATGCGCGGCTTGTTCCGAAACGAGTCCCTCTCGCGCTGTCGACTTTTTTTTGCTGCTGTGTCCGTGTTCCTGCCGCCCTCGCGCGGATAACTATGAAGTCATCCGCACTATTAGACACTGTCTTCGAAGATGCGTCCTATATGGGGTATGGCTTTGCGGGGCGCAAACGCTGTCGGATGATGATTGCATCTATGAGGACTGCATGGCGAAGGATATGTTTGAGTCTTTATTGCTCGTCACTTCTCGCAATATGAACGGTGCTCGTATACGTAATGCGGTAAATACCTTCAATAGAACGACGTGTTCTGTGTTGGCCAATGGCAGACGCTAGCACCGAATTCACAGTGGTTAAGATGACTCTTTTTTATCGATTGCGCTCGAAGTAGCGGGCGAAGATATGTGGAAGTTCGAAGACATCAACTACTGTGTTGGAGGGGGTCGCACTGGCTGACACTCAATCATAGGATTCCGCATACTTCCAGCGAATATCATGGAAAATGTCATCGGGTGACGAACGATAAGCACCGACGAGCTGTGAAAAAATCTAGCGCGAGGAACGGCATCCAGCGTGAGCGCTTTCACGCATCTGGATATCCTTGACCACAATCTTCTCACGTAGTAAATGCAATTTTATCTACGCTCATCGCGTCGCCGACGGTACCAAGATATCTATGTACCAAGGATCTTTGTGATGCTTTGGCTGGTGCGCCTTGCGTGTTTTCGTTGCGAAGCTGCCTGCCCATCTGACGTGATGAACCATTGAGTGGCGAAGCTTCCTGCACAGGACCAAATAACACTGCATACGGAAACACAGCCCTGGACACGGGAACACAGCCCTGAAGTCCCTTGATAATATCCGCCGCGGAACCTGGGTCATGCTTCTCACTTATCCTCCCTTCCTCTCTATACAGCAAGTTCCTGCCGCACCGTCGGTCCCTCCGATTCCCGCTGCACTCGGGCCAAAGAGTGATGAGCCACCTTGCCTGGGTATCCACTTGACCATTCTTTCCGCTGATCCGCCACTCAGGCTCAGACAATTGATAGCCAATCGTGAAGTAATATCCATAAGATGCTTTTTTGTATATGCCAGAGTCCCTTATACTCTGCCTTGAGGCATCCGGACGACGAAGAACATTGATGTCGCTAGTGCGTCTACCCCGTGCTCTCTAGATATCTGGATACTGATCATTAACTCCGTAGAGGCTCTCCCCTGCGGAGGTTCTACGAGAACGAGTAGTCGGGGCTCAAGGCGGCACGTTCCGCTGTGCTCCGGCTCAGATATCTGTATTACTCGTAATCTATCCTGGGTCGCATGTCTTCAGATATCCATGATGCATTTAGGACACTGTGCGTCCGTCGCCGGTGCCTGTTTAGCCAAGCAGCGGAAGGGAATGGCCAGGACGTGGTGAGAATTATGTGCAATGAGGGGAATGAACGGATGATTATCTTGCTTTACACTTTCTCCAGAAGCAAGCATTGCGCTCGTCATGGAGGCCATCGCGAACGACAAAGTTGTCTGAAGTTGTGCATCCGCCGACACAATTGGTTCGTCCGGGCATTCCGGCCGTCTTCGTGCTCTCTGGATATCCGGTACCGATGGCCACGCTTCAGAACGTATCGTTTCCGCGTGTATTGAGGCTAACATGCAGAGGAAGTGCGGCTCCTCGTGCTGACGAGTTCTGCAGGATATCCGTATATTGTTACGACTTGACGCCGTCGGCATGTCTGCCTCACCTCATGATATAAAAACTCGATACCGCCTTCACCTTCTATGCCCTACCAAGCACTGTACTGTAACGCAGTATGCCTGACATGCTCCCGCGCTCCTCCGGTACGTCTGGAAGATACCGCTCAGAGCTGGAGGATGCGCTCGGCAAGCCCGCGGTATGGATTTATCTTGCGTCGATGTATGTCTCTCATAGAGTTGTTCATGTCCAGAACGTCAGCTTTCAAACTCATGAGGTCGCGGCGGGACCAGCGGTCTCAGAATCCCAAGTCTCGCTCTCGGTACGCTAACTAGCTCGAAATACATAGCTCTGTCTCACGCACCTATAGCAGGGCTCTCACGTGCAACCACCGCCTCTAGGAGTACGTTCATTGCATGCATGCCTGTTCAGATGACATGGTCTGACTTCATGAAGCCTGTTCGTCATGTCGATTCAACTAATGCGGCAAGATATGCGTCTTATTCGTCCACAGCGCTTGCTTTGCCATCGGTAGGTTGACTAAGTGCGTATTACTTTACATGTCGCTCATATTGAAGTTTCAGAGCATGTATTCTGCGGGGGTCTCCCAGCATGTGCATCTTCGAGATGTTCCGGGAGACTTAGAATCGGGAAGGTCGTCGATCGTATGTGGCATTACATTTGATATGAGTTGTTGAGTTTGATTATGATTGACTCGATCCATTTGAAAGGAGGAGAACGGATCGCTAGCTGCAAACTCATATGGCCAGGTGCTCGATCATGACCAGCCTGCCCACGATTCACCATATGAGCCGATATCGCAAAATGCGTACACTCCCCAGAGCTGTTTCAAAGCGTATCGACTTGTTGACTTCTCTGTCGATGATCAGCGCGGGATCATGTTAGCTGACGCACTTAACGGCTGTGAACGACTGTCGAATTGCGATGATTTCGTTTTCACCGAAACAACGGCTCAAAAGATGTCTCTGCGCATCTTGGTACGTTCGGCACTTCTTGCGCTGGAGCACACCTCTGACAACGGCCTTTCAAAGTTGCCCGGCTATCCGGAATATGACAGACAAGTTATCGTTAGAAATTCGAGGACGCCACCAGAGTCTATCACGGTGGGAAAGCTGGCGCAGATAGCGGCGAAGGAGTTCAACCGCATGCTAGAGGTTGGTTCGGCGTCGTTCATTGCTAAACACTCCCTGGGTCACTGATCTCATACGTAGAAACAGGCTGAGGGGAACTACCACTTATCGTTCTCCCCCGACGACGTTGTGCTGCTTGGAGTGAACCGTGTGGCGAAAGGCAGCATTCAGCCTCGATTCGGAATCATCAGGCCTCAGGCCTCGTAGGTCATGGAAAGATTGATGACTTCACGCATTGTGCGTGCAATATTACAATTATTTTGTCAATTTTCCTGTGAAAATGTCAAGCTTATTCCTTCATATTAGTGTCTTTGTCACCATTCGCATATCAGGAACGATGCCAGCGCATCCAGGCACGGATATGTGATCAGAAAGGCCAATGATCTGCAACCTCGCCGTGATTTCCGCTTATTGTATTCCCCGATACAACTCCGCGACGTGTTCGCGCGAGCTTTTGCACGGCCGAGGCTATGAATCGCGAGCCGTGAGAGAGGCGCCGCGGAGACTCGGCTGAAAGTGCGAAGATGCCTGCGTGCGATAGCCCCTTGTGAGAAAGGAGGAGAAATGTGCGAAGATCTTGAGATTTTCTTTGACTTTCTCCTGTTGTGACTTTTCCAAACCTTCCTCTCCAAGTTATGCGCTTGATGGGAAAGGTTAAATTCTAACACCCTTCCTGCAGTGAAAATCCTTGCCGTAAAGTCGCTCCTTTGACCCGCACCATCACATTTACATGATCTAGGTGCCGCTTGCTCACGTCTATAACGTGCGTTCAGGTTTCTAGTGTCTCTGTGTATCGGGAGTACTTGACTGGCGTATGGATACACAAGCTTTCTGTGATTTGCTGTCTGTCCTCTAAGCCCAGAGATCTTATCATTCGACATGTTATAGACGTCGTATATGCCTCGATGATGCTCAAAGTGCTCAGAGCCCCGTGTACCTATGAACTCGTGGTTTCGCATTCTGTATCGACGCCCTGCATACGAAAATCAACTGGCGTCTGTGAGGAATGATTAATGATTGGTGAACAGACTCTTTGCTCTGCATGGCAGGACATTCCAATGCAATGCTTTTATGCTGTCGGTGAGCCTCGGTCCTCTTTGGATATAGAAAAGCATTTCGTCCAAACAATATAAAACAGAAGAATGTTGAAATGGCGAAACCACCTGAAACACTAGGCCCGTTTCAATCGACAGCGACACGAGAGTACAAACTGGCAAGGTACGCTCATTCCACCTTGCCGGTTTGTCTCCTCCTGGTGCCCACGCATTGACCACATTAAAGCAGGCGGCACTGCTTGCATTCCTCAACGTCCCAAAATGCCACAAAAATAAAGATGATGTGATACGGCATGCTATAGCCACTAAAGCGCATCAAAATTGGTATGTGCAACCATGAATAAAGCGCCAGGTTGGGTCGAACTTATGAGAACCTACGGAGTACTAAGAGCGTCGAAGATGCATAGAGACTCAGCGTTCGTACTCCTAGCAGGGAGACAACATCTGTATTCACCTAAGAGTGTCAAAGATGCGTAGAGACTAAGGAACGTGTAAGTACAAGCAA